CAGTAAAGGCTGGTTAGGAATAAAGGGTGAGGTTCACGGTTATTTTTTTGCGGGGGGGGGGGGGGCTGTGAGCGGTGACAGCCCTCGGAAGCTGGGCAGAAATGTAGGACACACCTTAATGAACTCTTGGGAGAAAATTCTCCAGAAGGCCTGGGGCGTTTCAGGTGGAGTCCGCAAGACTGAGTCTGAGAGGCTCTCAGGGCCAGCTCACTGACCCATGCCTGCGGGTGTGTTTCAAACCAGACCAGCGCGTTTGAGGATTAAACAGTCAAATTGCGACATGCTCCCTCCCTGGGGCACACCCACGCCTTTCTTCCCTCTTGGGCATGCTTCCCCTGAAGTCTAAGGGTCCCCAGGAGACCGGTAACTGGGTGGGGGGTGGGGGGAACCCAGCAGCAGACTGTCCAGAACCTGTCTTTGAAGCCCCTTTTCTCTGACTTTCCTGTGAGCCAAAGCAGCCCCGCCTAAGTTCTCTTTGCTTCTGTCCTAAGCCCTCCTTGTTTCACTGTCTCCAGCTTTAATAAATGTACTTAAAAAAAAGGCAAATTGCTCTCAGACAGTTCAGAAAAAATCTGGGGTATCTATAGTGTTTCCAGAGGCACTAGGCCAAAGTGTTTTAAAGGTTGCAAAATTCTTGGCTACTGTATTCCGAAAAGGAAAAAAAAAACCCTCAAACAAATCCCTAAGAAAATTCTTAAAAAAAATTACCCCAAACAAACCTGTAATCCATGCTTCAAATTTAGTTTCTGCCCATGAAGACATCCTGAAAATAAAAAATAAAAAAAAGAAAGGAAAAAAGAAAGACATTCTGGAACTGGGAAAAATCCAAAAAAAACTATTCCTCAAAGGATGCAGCCACTTCTTAAAATGGCAGGATAACCCTGGCTGCTGTGGCTCAGTGGATTGAGTTCCTGCCTGGGAACCAAAGGGTCAACAGATTGATTCCCAGTCAGGGCACATGCCTGGGTTGCGGCCCAGGTCCCAGTAGGGGGTGTGTTAGAGGCAACCACACACTGGTGTTTCTCTCTCTCTCTTTCTCTCTCCCTTTTCCTCTCTCTAAAAACAAATAAATAAATAAAATCTTTAAAATGGCAGCTTAGTCCATGAGTCTTGAGAGAAAACAGACTTTTCCCCCAGCTTCCATTCCTTTTCTTTTTTTAAAAGATTTTCTTTATTTAATTTTAGACAGAGGGGAAGGGAGGGAGAGAAACATCAATGTGTGGTTGCCTCTAGCACACACCGTACTAGGGACCTGACCTGCAACCCAGGCATGTGTCCTGAGTAGGAATCGAACTGGCAACCCTTTGGTTTGCAGGCCAGCACTCAATCCACTGAGCCACACCAGCTAGGGCCCCCCACCTTCCATTTCATTAGGACCGGGGGGGAACCTAAATCAGTGAAAAGGCAACTTGACTGAGCCCGGGCTCCCATCAGGCTCTGTTCTCAGTCTCCTTGTGGGTCAGTCTTCTGGGGCCCTTGACGTCACTCTGATGGAGATCCTGTTATTATTTCTCTGTTTGAGGAGATGGGACACTGAGTCCAACCTGCCTTGGCCCTCCAAAGTGACATGGCACTGGAGGAGCTGGACTCCAACCTGAGCAATATGGCTCCAGAGTCCAGAGTTCACGCCAGTGTGCTAACTGCATTTTCTAATTTTTTATATTCTTGACGCTCTGGTCTCTGGGGCCTCACTGACTTGGGAGAGACCACCCCTCCCAGGGCCAGCCAGTTCTTGGAGACAGCAAGGGTGCCTTCCACATGCAAACTCACCAATCCAGAGTCCACCTGCCACTCACGCCTCTACATGGCCCCTACCCTCCAGGAAGCACTGACCCTCTGCCTTAACCACCCCACGATTGGGGGGCAGACAGCTAGAGGCAGCCCTGGTGCCCCAGAACCTGCCAGCATTGCTTCAACCAGGCAATATTCATCCTGCTCACCTGCCTGGCCTGGCCTTTCTCATGGAAACCACAAAACAGGTCCTCTGCTGGACCCCATCCACTTGTCTCACCAGCCACCCCCATCCACAAGGATCCTTCAGGGTGCCCTCTCTTCCTACCCAGCCCAGGGCTGCCCCTGTGGTACTGTCTCTTAGAAAGGCTGCAAAGGGGGCATGGGGGACATGGAAAAGAGTGGGAGGGGTTCTTTGGGGCTCCGCACCTCACCCTGATACAGAGGTGAGGCAGCCCACCCAACGCCTGCATGGCCAACACCCTGAAAGGTCTGCACTATCTGACTCGTCAAGGAAAGAGCTTTGTTCTTAGACTGCTAATAACTGGCGATTGACAGTGCTTATAAAAATACCTAATGAACTCAGCTGCCTGCACAGTGCCTCAAACTGGAGTGGTCTCAGAAGTATTTGAAGAGATGAGGGAGTACACGGGGTCAGGACAGGGCTGGGTCATAGCTGCTTTACCAGTTTCCCAAGGTGGCTCTCATGTGACCATTTTGGGGACCCTAAGCATTGGAAATGAGGAACAGACATCCAAAAGCCCAAGGGAAAGTGAATTCACTGAAACCCCCTTCTCAGGACTTTGACCCTGAGCTACCTGGATGCTCCTTCAAGGAGCAGGGTTAAGGAGGTGGGGACTGAGGATGAGGTTTGCCTGGGGAGAGGAAGTAACCTCGGTGACAGATCAGGGTCAGGAGGGGGTGACATCAGGTGCACAGACAGAGGGATCCCTTAGCCTTCCTGAGAGTCAATGTCAGTAGACCTCACAGAGCAGGCGCAAGAGCAGGGCAGCAGCTGGGCTGCTGGCTGCCATGCATTCCAGGGGCTCTGGCCCAGCAACACTGTCACTAGCTGTGACCTTGACCCCTGCCATACAGGATGGTTATGAAGATTGTTAAGAAAAAAAGGAAGTGAAGTCACTAATGCTATAAGCCACAGGGGAGCAGTAGTATTTGCACGACAAGACAACAAAGAGGGGAATTTGTGCCCTGAGGGGCCTGGAGAAAAGGAGATTACTCTGACAACCCCAAGGTATGTTATTTTAGGTGCCAAAAGGCAATGCCGGGCTCACTTAAGGTAGAGATGGACTTTTGTCAAGGAAGCTGCAGGCCTAGGCCCCTCCCACCATGGCCTGCTTTCAGTTAAGAATGTTTGTGTTCAGGTCATCCATGCCGTGTGGCCCCTTTCAGTCTCTGAGTTTGTAGGGCCTCCATGCCGGCCTCTCCCCAGTGTCAGGGTCAGTGTGTGGCCCCTTTTCCATGCACGGTGTTACAGGACTGCAGAGGTCTGTTTGCCTGCAGGCGTCGACGCTCAGTGAGACAGGAACAGGAGCTTGCAGCAAAGACATTAAGGATTTATTTTTAGGGAGAGGCCCCGCTGGGAGTCACAGGGGAGATACGGCTCAAAGAGCTGGCTCTCTGGTGACTTCCAGGGGACGGGTGACACAGGGGAAAATCATGCAACGAGGTGGCTAAGGCTGTGGTTAGGACTGTGGTCCAGGGTGAGTAGGGGCACCGATCCCTGCGTCTGGCCCTGACGTCAGCCAGACGGTTGCTGCCAGCAGTTTCATTGCTTTTCTGGGCCTGCAGCTGACATGTTACCTCCAGTTTCACTGAAAGTCCCCGTCGACAGACCCAAGGCCTTGTTCCTAGGATGATTTGATACTGATCAGAACCTCATTTTCCTGAGGGCTTCATGGTTAAAGGAGGAATCAGCATGTTGGAGGAGGCCAGTTTGAAAGGAAAGAAAGGAAAGAAAGAAAAATCATATTCAAGAAACGAAGTTTCTACGTGATCACAAGACTAAATGTGTTCATGTGAGACATGTGTTTAGCACATAGTAAGTGCTCAATAAATATTAGTTACTATTAACCAACAATTATTAACTTTCTATTCAAACCCTGGGCAGCTAGGGCACTGCCCTGCTTTCTCACCATCCCAGCACTTCCAGTCCTTGCAGTCGCCTCCTTAGCAGGCTAGAGAGGCCTAAACTTGCTGCCTTCAGTCACCATAAGGGACTTAAATCACCAAGTCTGGAGGGCTTTAGGTGTGGAGGGGCAAGGGAAGCCACCGAGGGAGCCTCAGCTGCGGCAATAGTGGGAAGATGGGGTCGTGAAAGTGGGGTTGGGCGCCCACCCCATGGAAGGCCAGTTTTGAAACTGGAGACAGGGCATGGGTGCTGGAGTGGGCAGGGGCCACATGGTCCAGCTAGGGCACCCTGAGGCAGAGATCCCCCTCGCTACCTGGCCAGGGGGGGTGGGGGGTGGGTGGGGGCTGGGTGCCTCAGTGTCCTCACATGTCTCATGGCGCTGTGGAGATGTCAGTCCCCACGAGGCCTGTTGGGAGAGGTTCAGTGCCCGCTGGCCTCACTTCGGTCAGCTCTGCAACCTATAGGCGAGTGTGCCCAGGAGGGTGAGGAGGTTGGGCCTGAGTCCTTGGTTCTCAGGAAGTACATGGGGCCCCTGAGTCCTCATGCAGGCTTGCGCAGCGGTTCCAGGGACTGCCGTGAATCGGATGTCAGTTCTGGGCCCTGCGGGCGTCTCAGCGGCCCTGTCATCCCTGGAGTGGGGACCAGCGCCCTGAAAAGGGCAGTCTAGTCACTTCCAGCCCCGCCCGCCTCCGCGGTCACCCTGTCCCCGTTCATTTTCGTGTCCCCGCGCCCACGCATTTCCTTCATGACTGTTCCTAACAGACCAGCTGGTGGTCCCGCGGCCCCCTGAGTATGGGGCCGGAGGTCGGAGGCGGGGCACAGCGCTGGCGGTTCTGCTGCCGGAGTCAATGAATGAATCCATGACTCTAATGAATGAGCGCCGCTACAGTGCCTTTTCTAGGTAAATTGAAAGTGCAAACCCAGCGTTTAAGGGGAAGGGGTGGCTGGCCCCACCCACGTGGTAGGAGATCAAAGTGGCGCGGGTCGCCGAAGCATGGAGGAAGAGTGGCAATAGGGGACGGCGTGGGGACAGGGTAGGATGCGTATTCGATTTTCTTACTCCCGGAAGAGGGGCGGGTGGGCGTGGCCTACCGGATGCCCCGCCCCGCCCCGCCCCGGCGCTGCGCGGGACTCGCGGATTCCCAGCCGCGCTGAGGTCGCAGGGAGACGGCCTGGCGTCCGAGCCCAGCGCCTGCGCCAAGCGAGCGGAGCCCATGCAGTAACGGAGCCCGAGCTCAGCGAGCGGGGAGTCGCTGAGGTGCACGGCCCCACGTCGCCCTGGCAGGCCGGCATGGAGGAGTGCCGGGTGCTCTCTATCCAGAGCCACGTCGTCCGCGGCTACGTGGGCAATCGGGCGGCCACGTTCCCGCTGCAGGTACGCTTACGTAACGCGCGGTGTCCCCGCACACCCCCGCGCCGACCCGCGGCGGAGTGGCCACAGCCGGCCCGCGTGACCTTGGCCGGGCCACCGAGGTAGCCGCAGGTGCCGGTCTGGAGCGCGAGGAGCCGGGCGCGGGCTGGGAGCATCTGATGGGCTCCTGCGGGCGTCCTCGCGCGGGAACACGGAGTTAGGATGAAGCTTCGGCGGAAGCCGTGCGCACCCGGCATTTCCCACCCCTCCCCGCTTACAGGCTCCAGCAAGAGGGGTTATCTGGGGGCGAAAGGATGCTTTGGCCGGGACCCTGCCCCGGAGCGAAGGAGACAGAATGGGCAGGTGTTTACAGTGCTCACCTGCTGGGCGCCGCATTCTGTCCCTGCCCGCTGTGGGTCAGGATGCTGGGAGGGAGGAGAAGGAAGCTCACGGACAGTGAGGCCCCTCCGGATAGAGTGGGCTCCTACCCTCCCTCTGACCACTCCGGTAGGTGGTCGCCACAGAGAGGTGGGGCAGAGAAGGTGGTACCTGCAGGTGCTGGTTCTGAAGAAGCCCACAGACCAGTTCAGGCCCTTTCAGGGTTTGGCTTTAGAAGCTGCTCTTAAATGTGTTAATCTTTCCATCCTGCCCGCCCTCTTGGGCTTCCCTCCCGCCTTCCCCAGCCTGTCCTTGGTGAGGGGCTCACCATGTTTTCCTGGTTCGCTGGCTGAGCATTTACTGCCTCCTGTTGCAGCCATGAGGTGGGTGGCCTTTGGAGGGGCAGGAGGAGGTCTGGGTGCAATGGGGTGCAGTGGGGTGTCGTGCTGGACAAGAGGCAGTACCACAGTGCTGGGCACTTCCTTGCTTTGTGGCCCAGCAGGAGTACTGAGTGGTTCTGGCAAAGTGGGGACTGTCGTGGACTGCCACCTTTCACTCTATATTTGAGCAAGGAGCAGGTGTGGCAGGTGCCAGGGCTGGGTCCCACAGGACAAAAAGGGCCACTTGCAGGGTGCAGGCTGGGCAGAAAAACCATGGGAAGGACCAGAGCTTTGGTGTAGAATTTGAGGGCTGACCTGACAATGCCAAGGCCAAAGCCTAAAGAGGAAATATGAAGCAGAGACTTGAAGGTGGACAGGTACAAGGGTTCAAGCTCAAAGTGACCAGCCACCCCGACAGTGTGAGCAGCTCCAGTGTGAAGGACACAGCTGCAGTTTTTACCAACGTTTCCCCAGGGTCAGCGTCCTTACTTGTGGGCGCATGTGCTGGCGTTTATGGGACACAGGCTGGGGGTAGTGGGCAAGGGTCATGTCGTATCATCTCCTTCCTCCTGCCATGGGGGAGGATGACACCTCTCTCTGTCATTTAACCCAACCCTGCACTTCCTCCCCTCAAGGTTCGTGAGGCCCAAGAGGAGCATGGCAGGGCAGGGGTCATGGAAAGCAGGGGCCATTCATCTGTTAGTGACCTTGAAGAGGCCACCATCTACACCTTCTGGTGCTCAGTTAGTTGCCTTATCTGTAGAATGGGTGTAATGCTGCTTCACAGGCCATTTGAGGACCAGTGAAGATGGGGAGTATGCACATGTCTCTGAGGTGCCCGCTGTGGAACGAGGTGGGCCAGCAGTACCTGGAGGTGCTTTGCTCACCTCTCCCCATGCAGAAGGACCGGAAACCAGGGGCACCTTCGGAGGCTGGAACCCGTCAGGGGCGGATGTCAGTTGGGTCCATACTTGCTTCCTTGTGCCCTTTGCCCTGATTACTTTCTCCTCCTAATCTCAGAAATAAGATGTAGTATAGTTTTGAGGTGGAAGGTGGAGGGAGCTGAGCAGAGGGAGAAAGCCAGGAATGGTGGTCCTCAAAGCATATTCCCCCAACAGCCGGACAGCTGGACCTCAAACAGAACTGCATTAGGTCGGGTGACCGGGTGACCTAGACAAATGCCCCAGCCTGGAGGGCTCAGATAACTGACATCTGCTCACTCCCAGTCCCAGAGGCAGGAAGCGAGGTGTGGGCAGGGCTGCTTTCTCCTGAGGCCTGTTTCCTTGGTGTGGCGGTCTGGCCTTCTTCCTGTGTCCTGGTCTCTTCCCTTTACGATGACAGCAGTCATGTTGGATCAGGGTCCACCCGAAGGACTTTGCTGAACCTCAGTCACATCTGTAAAGGCCCCCTCTCTAAATAATGTCCCATTCTGAGGTGCTGGGAGTCAGGGCTGCAACATACAGATTGGGGGGGGGGGCACAGTTCAGCCCATGACAAGGACACTTTCCAGAAATTTCTGTGAGGTCCAGCTGTCTGGCTGTTCACTGGAGTCTTTCTCCACTTGCCCTCTTAGTGCTTCTTTGGCCAGAGCCTGTGCAGGCCCCCTCGGCCTGGGTTCAGCTCCTGTGGCACAGTCCGTTAGCACTACAGGATGCTCCCCAGGGGCCCGTGTAGGCAGTTTGCTCCCCACCCCCACATCTGAGCGCCACTGGAGTAACTGGGAGGTGGGTGGGGTCGGCCCTGATGGGACTTGCACCAGCCTTTGCCACCACAGGATGGAGGCATCTGCTAATACTGATGCCCTACAGCTAGAGGTTCCAAAGTCCAGCTCTTCTACATGGCCAAGGGGTGGAAAGAGAATTTGGAAATGACTGGAGAAGGGAGGCTCTGGCCGGGCTGCACAGACTTTCCCTCCTGTCCCTCAGAGAGAGACTGGAAACTGCATATGGTGGGGCCTGGAGAGGCTGCCTGTGGGGACCGATTCCATGTCCCCTGGTCTTGGACTTGGAGTTTCAGTTCAGGGACTTGGTCCCGCCTTCTGAGCCTTCCTAAACCTTCCGAAGCCTCTCTGCAAAGCAATGTCAATGAAAAGAAGGCTCGAACCTTTGTACATCTAAGCAACAAGTTTTTTATTTGGGCCCAACTGAAGACATGCCCATGAAAGGAGCCCTGAGAAGCTTGACACAGTGTCTGACTTGAGGAAGGTGATGGGACGCTTGTGTAGACAGGGGGACAGAGAGGTACAGCTGGGTGCCGCAGGCTCAGTGAGTCACATGCATGCAAGGATGAAGTGTGACGTCAGTGGGGAGAATGACCAGGTAAAGCAGGGGCACCCGGCACTGGGAGCCTGCAGTCAGGGGAAGAGGTCTGGGAGCAATTATTTCTACATATTTGTCTGGATATAGAAAGAGTAGGCAGTGCCTACCACAATCTTCTTAATTGGAACTGTTGGACATACACATGGCCAGCCCCACGAAGACCTTGGTTAGGAATAGACTGTGTCCCCTTGGTTACTGATCAAGCAGGAGCAGCCTGGACACCCTTCCCTTTCCCAGTGAGGACAGCCCTCCTGGAGGTCAGATGGTGCCTGGCCCCCAGGGCACCGCTACCTGGACAGAGCTCAGCTTGAGACGCTATGTGGTCAGCGTGGTGCAGGGTCTGGGAGTCAGGGCAGGGGTTCCCAAGCTGCTTCCGCCAGGTCCCGAAGCACACTGCACACAGTCTCAGGCAGGTGGTAGCCCGTGGGCTGTCGCCTTCCACAGGCAGAGGAAAACATTGTACCAAAGAGAAGGGAACAGAACATTGACCTTGCTTTTAGAGTCGTTTCTGGGATTACAGTCCATAGTACAGTTTAGTGGTTGAGAGGAATCTGTTAATGTGAGCAGCAACAGAGGAGGTAGACTTAGCTCTAAACCCATTGAAATACAGTGGCTTGGAAACAGGAAAGCACTTTGGGGGGACGGCTCGGTTTGGGGCTGCAGAGATCAGCCTCATCCTCTGACTCTCCTGACCATCTGACCATCTGTGTGGGAAGAGGTTGGCTGGTGGGCAGTGGCGCATTGAGAGGGCCCTGGCTGGGAGACCTGGATTCACAGTCCTTTGGCTACAGTGGCTGGGGCAGACGTGGAGGGTCCCGGGTGACAGCTGGAGCAGAACAGGAGCTACAGAGCTGCAGCGGCCTGGGTGAGTGGGCGGCTCACTGCAGTTCTTTTGGAGATCCCAATGGGTCCCCAAGGGTCACTTTAGGGCCATAGGGAGCTATTCCCAATCTCTCACCTTTGAGAACCCCTGAGCTGCAAGGCAGCCTTCTTCAGAGGGTCTCTTGATCAGTCCCTTGGAAGATCTTTACATCTTTTCCTTAGAATTCCCAGGACAGAAAGGGCCTTTTCCAGCAGAACTGCATTCAGCAGGTGTCAGAAGACTGGCACCCTGCCCTTTAAAAGCCTCAGTTTCTGTCTTAGTGGTTTTCATGGTCATTAACCAGTGGCACAAGAGCGACCACCAAAAAGCATGCCTCCCTTCTGCCCCCTGTGTCAGTCATCCACGTCCTTGGAGTGACCCACCAGGTTTGGGACACTCCTGAGCGTGCTCTGTGTGCTCCAGGCCATGCTGACCTGTTGCTTTCCTCCCGGCCCTCCGTGACTCTCCCGCTTCCATCTGGAATCCTCTGCTCCGACTCAGACTTGCTCCAGGCCTGGGACATCGGCATTGTTTTTGCCGTTTCTTCCAGCAAGTCCCAAATTGCTTAAAATCTTGATGTCTTAGTTTGGGACTTAAGTTTCTGTCTCTCTTTGCCTGTCATGGGGAAAAGCAAGCATCTAATTGGTCCTCATCTTTTCTTCCTGCCGTGTGCATGCGTGTGGGGGTGTGTGTACATGCATGTGCCGTGGGCATGGATATGTGTACATGCATGTGAGTACGTGTGCATGCATGCACAGGCATGTGGGGGTGCGGTTTTGTTGTGCGGTGTTGCTCTGCTGCGTCTTCTGTCGAAGCGCCCACCCTCACAGGGCAGCACTGCTGGAAGGAGAGGGAGCATCTGCCAGCCCGCGGCTTCCATGTTGTGGGGGCTGATCGGCCCTGTGCTCCGTGCGCCTGGTGGTCCCCTGGTGCACACCCACACGGAGCTTTTGAACTCGAATCAGCCAGTTTCATTCACAAAGTGACGCTGTGGAGCAGAATCAGTGGAGTTTCTCAAGGAGGAAGGAAGGAGGTGTGGGGACATGGGCCACCCAGAGCAGCTGCCCGGTTCCGTTTTTTACCTGG